TGATCTCACAAAACCCACAAATGTTAATACAAGAGTCTGGAAGCATTTCTTTGATGCTTTTCTATCTCAAGAATTAAAAACCGAAGATTTTTTTCATGTCTCTTTTATATAAATCATATCTACTTACCTTACATTATTTTTTTCTGATATTTAGTAGACTGTAAAGCAAAAATCACCACACTTTGCTTTTTGAAAGTTACTAGAAACATAATTTCTCACATGAATTCATTGATTATCCAAACACTGTTCATGAAACATCAGTCCTTTTCTGGTAACCCACTGGCATTCTCTCAAGACTTTAGAATTAGAACATTAATGTTCATTAAATACAGACTACCATACATTTCTGCAAAGAGATTAACAATGCAACTGGAAGGCTGAAACAACAGCCATTAATGAAAATCTTGCTTTTAACTCTAAACTTTAAGTTTTTGGAAGATACAGTTACCTCTAAAACCTTGCAATTTGTAAAAAAACCCGACAAAACAACTCATCAGTCCAACTGCTTATGCCACAGTTGGAGACAAGATTTCTTCAGTTATTACAGGCCAGAGATTTTTTTATTGGAGTCTGCCTCCTTGTGTCTGCAAAATAACATCTCAAAGTAGTCAAATAGTTAGACTCAAGTACGTTTTTAACATAAAAAGTTATTTTATTGACCACCAATTGCATATTTGCCCTTTGCTAGGCAACCAATGTAGCATACTTTTCAGGTATTCCATTATACCTGCTGAATAAACTGACCTTTACTGAACCTGAAATAGCTACATACTTAATGACAATGATTAACAAATAACACAAAAATGAAAAAAGTATCATATGGGGAAGAAACAATTTTAAAATAAATCGGTAGATTACCAGAGTGCTGGACACTTATGTTAACCATTGAGTGTCTAATCTCTTTAAAAGGATAATTATTTTGTGAAATCATGTCCTACTAAAAATTTCTAAAAAATAAACCTGGTTGCTCTACAGCCTGTGTTCTAGGTAGAAGAAATGTTACAACCATGTGAATTTATGGTGAACACTGGCAGGAAAAAAATATTTTAATTACTTCAATCAATTACATCCATCTACTAATAACAGGGCTAAAAAGGTAATGGTATACACACAGCATATAAAGCTACGGATCATATTCTGCTTTGAATCTGAATCATATTCTGCTTTGAATCTGGATCTGAATAAAAGAAGGTTAAGAATGAAGGTTTTGTAAGGATTACACAGGATTACCAGCAACAAACCAGTTTTTAAATTTTTGCAATGTGGAAGTACACAACAAGAAGTGTTGTGTTAGAGTGTACAAGAACATCAATGTTCAACATTTTACTTTTCATGTGGAAAATTATGTGATAGTTGAAAAAGACAAATAATCCCTGCCGTAGCTATTTATATTGTGTAAAACAGATTAATGTTAATTAAATTACAGTTTCTGTAAATCAACATACGTCAGCAATACCAAAAAAGCAGGAGTCCTGCCTTTGCCCCCAGGCACCATGTCTTGTTCTTTGTCTATGTGGGAGCACAGCTGTTTAGGCAGCAGTGCATTGGCCTGGCTGAAAAATAGCTTATTATTGTCTTTCATCATACAATTACATCAACATTTGCTTCTAAAGCAGTCCAGGGTTGGGAATGAGAAGCTAGAGAAGGACTACAGCATTTTCTTTAGGTGGCATTCTGATTTATGCTAGCTTAATGCTCAAAATGCACAACACAAGAAAAAAAAAAGGCAAATACACTATGTAATTATCACATAAATTTCCAGCTTTAAGAGTGGCCCTACAGCACCTATGATGAGACACAAAAACATTAACAAGAGCAGTAAGTAGTTTCTTGGAAAATTTTATTGCTAAGCTATAGAAAGCAATATGTTATGTTGCAAACACATCCTGCCAGAGTCCACTTGCATCCAATCCTCAAATTAATTTGCATTATTAATAACACATTATACAGCTCTTATTATTAGACATATAAAAATGCAATTTAACTAAAATTAGCATAAATTAAAACCTAGCATACATATGCCCATACTACAAACTACTGTGCCATGGCAACATTAATAATATTGTGACTGAAGCTTTTTTCTGGGTATGACCCATTTATGGCAACATTCCAAAGCTATAAACACATCACTGTTTCAGACTGATGGTTACATCCACTAGCTAACCAATGATCCCCCTCACAGAGTGGCTGCATAAGCAGCTTTGTGATGGAACACGGCCTTTCAACAACACAGGGTGCACTCTGCTGTGCCTCACCAGCCCCCTGCTCCTGGGACATGCAGGCTGCCAGGCACAGGCCACAGGAGTCCCCTGGTGCCAGGACATGCAGGGTGCCAGGCACAGGCCACAGGAGTCCCCCGCTCCTGGGACACGCAGGGTGCCAGGCACAGGCCACAGGAGTCCCCTGCTCCTGGGACACGCGGGGTGCCAGGCACAGGCCACAGGAATCCCCTGCTCCTGGGACATGCAGGGTGCCAGGCACAGGCCACAGGAGTCCCCGCTCCTGGGACACGCAGGGTGCCGGTCACAGGCCCCAGGAGTCCCCTGCTCCTGGGACACGCAGGGTGCCAGGCACAGGCCACAGGAGTCCCCCCACAGGCCACAGGAGTCCCCGCTCCTGGGACACGCAGGGTGCCAGGCACGGGGCATGGAGGGTGACAGGCACAGCAGCCCCCTGCTCCTGGGACATGCAGGATGCCAGACACAGCAGCCCCCTGCTCCTGGGACATGCAAGGTGACAAGCACAGCAGCCCCCTGCTCCTGGGACATGCAGGGTGCCAGACATGTGCCTCAGATGAGGCTGCTGGGGAAGCACCAGCTCAGAGAATACCACGCAATCTAGCACACAGCATTTTCTGCACTCTATTCCTTGCATACAATACATTATATAAAATGCATAGAGCTCCTCTGAAACCCATTTCAAAATCTCCACAAAGAGATGCTCATTTTTTTCAGTGAAGCATCTAATGAGAAGTGTTACTTTAACCCTACATAAATCCACATGGCTTTCAAAACATTATCTGAAAGGAATACTGAAATCTTTTTGTATCCCCTGCTCTACACTTCTAAAACTCTACCTTTCTAGTAAGGCTTTTACTTTTCATAGCATGCTAGGAGTATATACAGTATATTTTTTTTGACAAGTAGCAATATTAATAATTAATACTTTGGGATTCCATGTAATTATACCAAACCCCTGATGTTAAAAATTAATGTTTCATAAACCTTACTTTTGCTTCAAAGCCAGAACTAAATGAAGGAAAAAACAACAACTATGGGGTAGGAGTACTGCATTTTCTTCAATCAGGACAAACTCATCCACCATGGGAGGATGTAAGTGTCATCAGTGGAACACTGATGAAAACACATTCTTCTCCGTTGTATATTTAAAAAAACAAAGGATCTGAGCAAGACCTAACTTGAAAAAGAGCTTCAGTGGTTTTTACTTTACATAATACTGTAATGAAACAGATACCTCTAGAATACAGTCTTTGCTATATTCAGTAATGAACTAGATGTGTTGAAGTACTCAAATGAAAAAATAATATTTTCGGACTACTTAGGATAGATAAGGCAAGTGACTTTACAGAAAATAGTAACTATCCAACACAGGCTTTTTTTCCCTCGACACTAAGATGTAAGTTTCAGAATGCAGAAGACAAAGAAAAGTAGAGATTGAACACTAAAACATTTCTGGTTTAAAATAGACTTGTATTTTTTCACCTACACTAATGCATGTCTTTTTCTTGTATAGGCAGACAGTGTGCTACATCTGGCAGAAAAATCCAAAGAAATAAAGAGAAACAAACAAAAAACCCCTCAGTGCAACTTGACCTAGCTGCTGCTTCCTGCCACACACAGAGTCACTTGTCCTGTGTTCTTCCAGTAAATAAAGAGTGAGTACTCTTTATTGTGGGTGAGAACATCCAGTGTTCTAGTATGTGGCTACCTCACCTTCCTGGCTTCACTTTTCCATGTTAGCACACTATTCCTGTTTTACACAGAAAACGTAAAATTATTCTTCTGTCACTCAGACAACAGTTTTTTCAGAGCTGTCTGAAACCTGAATTTCACTCATTCTTCTAAATTAGTATCACCTTACAAAGAAAAAGTACCAGTTCTACATCTATTTTTTATTTCATTTTTCTTGAAGACAAGACATGTAAACCCCTCGAACGACCTCCTATCTCAATAAAACTACCAACACTGTGACGACCCATCTTCCTTCCCTTTAAGGGTGAGTTGTCAACAACATAAACATACTTTTCTGGTGACCTGCTAGTGTTAGGCCCTTTACCACTGAGGCTTAGCTGTAAGAGGAATTTAAGACTAACAGCAAGCTTGTATGCTTGTATTTCTTAATTCACTATAAAAAGTCGTTTAGAAAGGCTCACAGTCCATGCTGACAACCATTAGCTTAGAAGTCATATCAGCTTGAAAAATCTACATACTAATTTGCAAGTTTTACAGTAAGGTTTTGCTGTGCTCATTTCAGCGAAAGAAGCAGAAAAAGAGCAAACCTCCCTTTGAAAACTCCGAGAAAGTGACAAAGCCTCACGGAGGAGAAAATGAAAGCTTCTATCAGCACTAAAGATTCTCAAACTCAAAACACTTATTCAGGTTTACACACGACCGAAGGGAGGTCTTTTCAGGAAAACGAAAAACTCTGAGAAACTTCTTAAACGTTATTTTTTGCCGTGCTTATTAGGACTGTCGCATCAGGACCACTTTACACGGTGTCGTACAAGCCGGCGGCGGGGCAGCCGGGACGCGCACTCCGACCGCCGAGGGGCTGGAACTCCGCAAGCACGGAGCCGGGGAAAGGCGGGTGCGGCTGCCGCGACCACCCCGCACCGCCCAGAGGTGGGGCTTCCTCCCGCCCCCGCGCATCCCGCGGCCCGCCCGCCCGCCCGGGCAGGGGAGGAGCGCTCCGCCCGGTGCAGGGGCGGCCGGGCCGGGCCAGGCCCGGCGGGACGGCGCCGCGGCCGCCTCCTCACTCACAGTAGTACGCCACCACGGGCTCGCGCTTGTCCAGCTCCTGTGCGGTCCGCAGATGGTGCTGGATGCTCTTGAGCTGCGGCGGCAGCGGGGGCAGCGCCGGGGCCGCCATAGCGCGGGCGGCGGCGGAGGCGGCGGCGCGCGGGTCTCGCTCCTGGGGCTGGCGCGCGCCTCTTCCGCTTCCGGCTCGGGCGCCGTGGGCGGGCGGGCGGCGGGGCGCGGGGAGCGCCCCCTGCGGGCCAGGAGGGGGCGGGCGGGGCTGTCCGTCCGTCCATCCATCCATCCTGTCATCCGTCCGTCTCTGGGGACCTACAGCCTCGAACGCCACCTGCGTGGCCCCTTGGTGCTTGAAACGCATCCCACAGCAGCCGTGAGGAAGGGTTGGAAGACTTGGGGGCGGTCAGGGCTGCTCCCTGGCGCAGCCGGCCTGGCCCCGGCTGCCCAGGGCTGAGGAGAGACGCCCTCCCCGTCCCTTCTGCCTCCCTCCCCTTGGCAGGCCAGCCCAGAGAGCTGTGCACACCTGGCATGTGTAGGTACACCTGCAAGTAAAATCGCTTCTCAGACTGAAACTTCTCCTTGGGCTGCCCAAAGGCTTCCCAAGGTCCCTGAGGCCCTTGGGGGCTGAGGTGCGCCTTTTCTTCTGGGCCTCTGCCCTTCATCCCCAAAAACTGTTGTCTGCAAAAATCGCATTAGTTACCCGGAATGCAACAAGTCAATAAATACACATTCGAGAGAGATATTGATTATTCATTTCAGAGTTGTACAAGCCTGGGTTCCGGGGTATTCCATAAATCAAGCACCCCAACTATCAGCACTTTGCTATTTATACATTTTAGCAAACAAAGGCTGCTTTGTTTTTTAATAAGAGAACAATAGTTCTCTTATTAATTAGTTTTCTGTATTCTGTTAGTTAATGATTCTCTTGCTTTTTCTGCTAATTGATGACCATGTTTAGTCTTTCTCGTTTGAGTCACTGGGTTTCTTGGGTCACTTGTCCATGAGCTGGTGGTGATGATTTCCCCCTGCCAGAACTGCCTTTTACCTAGTTGGAGCTGATTGCAGCACAGTAACTGAGTGGCTTCATTAGTTTCTTCCTTATTTTGTGAGTTCTGCCAAATGGCCCTGTGGCCTGTAAATTCTGCATTCCTTGTGTCAGCTACCAGTAGGCATCCTTCTTTCCAAGCTTTGTTAACCTCCCCCAGGGTCTGAGATGGATGAAGGATGTCAAGCTCTAAACCTGGCAAACAATGTAAACCTGGTAAACAAGGCAATTCTACTACCAAGTGATTTGTTTTTCTAACACTTGGAGATCAGTTAGAGCTTGCTTGTTAGCTGCTGTCTGTTTTCACAGATTAAATCTCCCTTGTTGACTAAGCTTGAAAGTATTTGAAGATTAAACAGCAAAGAAAATCCTTCCTTAAGAAAATTTAACATATTCCACATTTTGTAATACTACCATGGCCTGGCTAATAGGACTGGGCTGCTTCCTGATGGCTATCAGAAAGTCTGTCAGCTCTGGAGCATGCATCTCAGAGGATCACCACTTCCCAGATAACTTTTTCTCAGAGGAACTGCCAGGGCTTTCTGGTTTTGCAGAGAGGGGATAAGAACAGGATGAGAACTGTTGAAGCAAAATGGTTTTAAATGAATCTCACAAGTTATTGCAATATAAATTTAGTGTCTATATACCTCATTCTGATGGCATAGTTAAAACTATTTTTACATTTCTTTTGCCAAACCTCAATCTCAAAGTGTCTGTTTGCAAAGGAAGGGAATGTATAAAGGGCATAAAGAAGGGTGCTTGCTGGAGGGAGGCACAGGGTAGGAGAGGTGGTTGTGTTGTCTCATTGCCAGCATGGGAGTGTGCCAGAAAGGGAACAGAAGGGAAATGATGTCTGAACAGAAGAGAGGAATCCATAAAAGGAGAGAACAAGGAGTGGTTACAGGACTGGGATGCTGTGGTGCTATACTAGAGGCTGTCTGGCCTAGAGCAGCTATACCTTTGATGTAAATGCAATCATGTCACAATTACGGCTCTTTGTTAAGTGAGAACTGAAATGGTCATGATGTCTGACTAGAGACAAAACTGACTGCAAACACATGAGCTGGGGATTGCTTTGAGTGCTATCTGTGAAAATTAGGTGGCTAGAGTATGGTGGAAAACAATGAAAAAGTCAAAGAAGCACTTACAGTGTGAACCTGATGTAAGCAACAAAAATGCTTCCTCAGTGTTCTGGGAGACAGGACTTCATGTTCGCTGTGTAAAGAAATAGAATTGAATCAAAGAATCCCCAGCTGTATCATAAATTCCTTTCTTAATGGCAAAAACAAACAAAAAAAAAGCCTTCATGATTGCCTCAAATACTTGCTAAGCCTTTGAGCAAAAATCAGCTCAACACTGAGAAATGCATGAAGGCATATCAATCTCAGAGGGAGTAAGGGTGGTAGGAAGCCGATAGAAAACATTGTAAATGAGAATGAAAGTGGTGGGAGTTTGGAAGACTAAGCAAAAGAAAAGTTTATAGACATTTGAGAATACAATGAACGCCAGGAAAACAAATGGCAAATATAGGAAAGAGAAGTGTTGACATCCATGGGGAAATGATTTCTTTACATGGACATAATATCTCCATCAATGTGTTCCAGAAACTAATGGCAGAATGAGGCACAGAAAAACATTTGCACTAAAAGGCAATAATGCGCTTTTTTTACTTAAATGAAAGACTGAGGAATTTGACAATTTTAATTCCACAGGAAATGCAGAAAAAAAAATCAGTGTATCTGATTTGGAAGAAGAGAAATTTTCAATATGTTCCAGAATGTGACCAGAAAGAAAAAGGCCATGGTGATCAGTAGCCCAGCTCCTAAATCACTCTATGCATCCTCAGAGAGTCCCATGCTAGTACTTGTTCTTCAAGGCTCTTGATGTTAACAAGGACTTAAAGAACTCCTGAGGGCTTGGGGGTCTTGGCACTCTTCTGACCCTTCTGAAGTGTTTGGAAATTTACAGAAGAACAACAAGCAATGACATACTGAGCACCAGGGAAAATGCTGACAAGGCTGTGATTAAGTTATTTTATTATTATACAAATAACTGATGAATTGGGATTCCAAGTGTACCATTGGTAACAACTGTTCCTAGCACATGAAAGTACATTCTTTTTCTTAGTAGTTCTATATACTGTATGTTTTTCTAAATATTTTTTTTTTTACCTGAGATTACAATTTTCAGTTGGAAAGAATAATTCCAGATGGATATTGACATATACAGAGAAAAATTAGACATGTATCAACCAAAGAACATGGCATATTATGTAAACAAGAAGTTAGCACAGTGATTTTTATTTCACTTGTAATGCTTGCAAATATCAAATAACTAGTTTAATATTGCATAAATCTGATAGCTTTGACTGGACATTTCTTTAAGACAACATATAACTTATTTTCATAGGGAAAAATAATATTAATGCTTTAATATAGCAAATGTATTGAAATATATAGTTTTGTTCTTGATCAGCATATTTAAAAAAACCACACATCTAGTTGTAGCCCACTTTGTTTTAAACAGCCCAGATTCAATCAAATCCAAGACACCTAAAACTTGCTATTCCATTTATTTATCAGGTTTACTTTTGTGGGCGAGAATTACAAGGCTATGATAATTCAGCTGTGCTTTGGACTAATTAACTAACACTTGGTGGTAAAACAGTTGGTAAGATTTTTTCCAGAATTTTCTAAATATTTCTGAAATTACCCAGATTCTGTTATCAGGATCTCAGCTTTTTATGTTTGAAAAACAGATGGAAAATAGTTGATTGTTATTATAGCTATTTGCTATATATAATAGCTATTATTATAGCTATTATAGCTATATAGATATTTTATACAGGAAACTTCCTCCTCCTTTCTTTCTGATTCTGAAATCTGTTTTTTTTCCTTTATCTCACTTCAGCACAAGGAAATCACTTCTAAATTTAATATGTTTATTAAACCTTAAGAAGAAGCTGTTGCACACAAAAATATCTGATGCCTATAAAAGGTTTAAGACCTAACCTAACCCAATACACTTACTGCATAGAATAATTTTAATATGCAGAGTTCTTTTTCACTGTTATTCTAGCAGCTTTAGTCAGAGCAAGAAAAAGTTAGATCTGACACAAACATCAGAAAATTCTGTGGGCCCAATTCTGCAGTCACACACAAGCAAAACACATTGAAATCAAATCATGATTGGGCCTAGGAAAGGCTTTTCTCTAAGATTTTATTTTGACACGTTGAAGCCGCTTATGCAAAATTGTTAAAAAGCCCTTTTCCTCCTTCAAAATGTGATCATACTAAATTGGTAAAAATCTTCTACACGGTAAGCCAAAACATAATGAGGCATTGCAGTCAGCACAAAGAATACTATGCTACTCTTTCACTTTTAAAAGGGGATTCTGAGGAGGCAGGTGACAGTAGCTGAGCCTCTGCAAAGTAAGCTGGTATCCATGGATATGTTGTCACCACAGCCTAACCAGGAGCCTCTGCCCCTGGGGGCTGAGTTGCAGGTTGCATCTCAGTGGCACTTCTTGGGAAGACGTTGGAATGCTTTCTGGTACACAGAGAGCATCCACTATTATTGCTCAATTCTCAAGCCATAAGAACATGTAAAAAATTTGCAATAATTTTTCCTAGAAGGGCAATGGCCTTATTAACTCAGATAGCATGTGTTCAGAAAAGCTGTGAATAGAAGTGTGTTTATAAATAACCATCTCCTCACACACAGGCACTCCTCTGGAGGCAGAACTATCATAGGTGGCAGGTCATGAAAATATATTGCTCTTGGAGATCTTAGTGCCTTTGACCTTCACATGGAAGCAAAGATTGTTCTCATAGTGTGCAAGTTTTTAGATGAGGAGTTTACGTCAAGTGACCATTCTGCCTCAGTAATCCTGAGTGTGGTTCTCTTTTGCAGCACTGCATAGAGGACGGGAGATGTTTTTCTGCTGTGGTTTGAAACCATTGTTACAAAACTGCAGGTGGACAGAGCAGTAAATGAGTGCGAGGTATGTGACATCATTGAGTTTTTAAGATACCTAGCCTTCTACATGAGATTTCAAAAATTTCAGCAACACACAAGATCACTGTAATCACAGTAAATGTGTACATTGCAA